TCAATGGTTGGCCAGATCTGGGGCTTCATTGAGCAACCAAATAATACCCACGGTTTTCTTTTCCGTTTCGTCCGAGTTTAATGGCAAATCTTACAATAGCCGCCTTGGTTAAAAAGCGTCGATGGTTGGCCAGATCTGGGGCTTCATCGAGCAACAACAACCAATAATAATACCCGCGGCAAGCTTCCTATTGGAATGCACACACAATTCGCTCATCGTGTCTCCCAGAAAGTGACATTGCTTGCTTCCACTTCCATGCCTCCATCTCTCTCCAACCGTGCCGCCTCTGTGTATAATACTTCATAGCACGTGACGAATCTTCTTTTTAGATATCTCAATTGACCCCTTTTTGACACCCTCTTCGCCCAAATGACTCCCCTCCCCCCAAATAGACGCCCTTCACCGAAACAACCCCTCCTCCCTATCTCCTATCAACCTCCCCAACCACTCCCCCCGCCCCACCACCCTCCACGCCCCGGCCTTGCCTACCCACCCCGCCAGCCCCGCGCCCACCACCTTCCCATCCTCCCGCGGCACCCGGATCCACACCTCCCGGCCCTCGATCTTCAAGATCTCGATACTCACACTCGCGCCGTGCGTGCCTAGGAACTGCGCCAGCGGGGCCGTGAGGTGCGTGCGCGCGGTGAGGGGGTCGAGGTCCTCTGGCTGGTTGTTAGGGGTAGGAGGGGCGGAAGAGGCGGGGGGCGGGCCAGCGGGGAGGAAGGCCAGGTGGAGGTAGGTCCAGAGCGGGTTGCGGAGGGTGGAGGCGTGGAGGAGGTGGGATTCTTTTGGGTTTTGGGAGGAGCGCTTGCGCTTTTTGGATGCCGAGGTAGATGTGGATGTAGGTTCGGAGGAGGAGGAGGGGGGAGGAGGATTCGAGGGAGCGGCAGAGGTGGTGGGGTTGAGGGGGTGCGCCATTTCTGCTGTTTTGGGGTGGTGTTGGGATTGGGATGATGGGTGACAGTAGAGCTCTCGGAGAATTGGTGGAGCTGTTTCTTGGCGGTTTTGGAGAATGCCAAGAGACAGAGTTTCGGTCTGGGTTCGAGACTTTGGAAAGTGGGGCACGCATCTGTCTCGTTGGGTCGTACGTTTGAGATCTTTATCTTACAGTGCATATGCTGTGTCAATAGCATGGAGCGGGTACACGCACTAAGGAAATTGAAATAACGCATGACCTACTAGTGACCGGCAAGAGAATTTGTAGTTCCCTACATGGTATTCTGGAAACCTGTGGAGATCACATGTCTAGATTGAAAGAAGCTGTAGTTGAGTCAGCAGAGAAAGAGAGTGTTCACTCGAATTTGTCATATTCCATAGATGCTGAAGAACCCTTCATAAAGTGATATGTTGTAGATTTGACTAATATAGTAGTCCTGAGCATTTTCAATGACTTTTATATACACCCCTCACAAGTCGCTCCACCTCCCGTGACTCCAACCCATCAGGGTTCCCACCATCATTCTGAAATCCATATGCCTTCGCTTCATATGTACCTCGCCATCCATGCTACGCCATACGTACTGGGGAAAAAAATAAGGGAAAGAAGGGATCCGGGGTATAAGGTCGATCATTAAACCGAAAATAAGACCGTCAACAGCACAGGCTGCAATAAAAGAAAAGCTGGGAAAGGGGTAGATGACGTTCTTGAATGGAGTAGAACAGCCTTTTTGACAGTCCAACAGGTGCAGTCTGTTTTGACGGTGCTCTGCTATCCCTTCTTGACTTCATACGAGTACTGTCAAAGTATCAGGCTTGATGGGAATGGCAATCGTTTTTGTTCCAAGATATTCGACAACAGGCGGTTGATTCCAACAATGTCGAGTGGTGCTGTGCAACATACTCGCAGAGTAAAGGCGTAGGTGGTAGCGGCTTTTCGATGTGTAGATCCGCTTTAGTGCTTCTCCCACTCAGGGAGCTTGCAAGGACTGTTCAATCGACGGTTGACTTCTTCAACGGCTGCCTGCAAAACAACGACAGAGTCGAGGTGGCCTTCTGACATCTTCTCGATTTTCGACACCTTGTACTCCATGGTCCCCAAGTCCCGCTCAACACCCGACAGCCTCGTCGTGGAATACTTGACTTCTCTATCAAGCCTTGCAGTACTTTCTTTCGTCTCGTTTTGGATCTTAGAGACTTCGCGCGTGACCTGCTGAACGGTGGTCATGGCCAGTTCGGCTCTGTCACCGGTTTGTGTGATCTTGACGTCCTTCGCTTGAAGATCTCCCTGAAATCTCTGAAGAGACTGGTGGAGTGTGGTAAGATGATTTTTCAGGACACCGATCTCCCGACGAGCGTTTTCAGTCTCGGCCTCAAATTTTGAGGCAGCCGGGAAATGAGACTTCCACTGAGGCAGGCCTACATCTACCATGGCCTTGACTAGCTCATCAGTCGTCATGTTGTTGACCCGATCTTCCACATCCCTTATTCCATCTTGGCAACACTCTAGGTCTTGCTCAATCGTCTTGACTCTTCTATTTAGATCGTCCACATCTTTCGCTTGGTTATCCGCTTGTTGCATACGGGGTGCAATATTGTTTAGGTGCTGACTCATGTGGTTGTATCTATTTTGAATGTCCCTAATAATCGCTTCAATCGCTGCATTTCCTGCAGCTTCGCGTGAAATGAGTGGTGCGGAGACCCCATTTTGAACGTTCATATTGGCATTCGTCATGCGCGGAGACGGAGATTGTGCTTGAGTCGACAGTCGGTTGTGTACCTCAGTTAACTTAACCGCAACATTAGGCAATCGCTTTTTGTCCATTTCGTCCACGGTGCCCTCTGTCTTGCTTAGTCTCTGTTCGAACTCTTCAAGTTTCTTGTCCGTATCCTCCTTATGACCTTGAACATCGTTCTTATGATCTTCGAAAGTGGACATGAAATCTTGCAGCTGAGACGCATCCAGACCATGTACTTTCTTTTGTAATGCCTGGATCGCGATTTCGTGGGATTGCACATCGTCTGACAGTTCACTGAAATCTTTAGGCGTGGATGCATCTCCTCCACCCGCATTCTCAGATATTCGCTCTTCCAGCGCCTTGACCTGGCCTGAGACCCAATTTTCGAACGTTCCGACCCGGCTCTCTACCCCACCAATCTTGGTGCTTAGATCAGCAATTTGTTTTCCTTCGGCCTTGAGGTTCTCCTCGACGTCCTTGACCGATTTGGATGTCTCTGACAATTGGTTGGCCTGTCGCAATTGGGCTTCCTCGAGATTTTTGTGTTTAGACCCAAAGTCGCCTTCGATTCTCTTGATGTCTTTACGGATCGTATCCTTGAGAGCATCCATTTCCAGGGGTACCGTCTTTTGCACCTGAGCCTTTGTGGCATTGCTGATCGTCCTCTTCATTTCATGATCCATTTCCTCTTCCAGTCTCGCGGTGCGTTTCCAGACGATGTCAGTATCGCCTTCCAGTCGTGAAATGCGCTTCGCATAATTATCGGAGCCTAGTTCAAGCTCGTAAATGCGCGTCTGATGATCCCCTTGGCGCACGATTAGCTTGTCGAATTCCGAACGAACCTCATCGTCCTTCTTCTGCCTAATAGCCTTGTTGTCCTTGTTCTGATTAAACTGGTTTTTAATGTCTACAAAAGTGCGCGACATTTCAGTCATCTGGGTTTTGAGTTGAAGCAGCTCATCATCTTTCTGGTCGAGCATTTGCTTCAATTCAGATGTAGACGTTGTGCTCGCTGTGGTCTGAGTAGTCGTTGATAGGACAGAAGCGAGGGTCTGAGTGGCTGTCTCTTGGGCAGCAAGAAGTTCCTCATATTTTGCCTCCTTCTTTTCATAGAGCAAATTCAAGGCCTTGTTCCCTTCAGACATTTCGCCAATAGCCTTCGCTCCCCAAGACTGCTTGTCCCCGCTCTTTCTGCCAGCCTGGAGATTACTCAAAACTAGTTGTTGTCTCACCACATCGACCTCTCCTCGCGCTTCCATCACATCAAGCAGCGCCTTCCCAAATTGCCTGAGGGGGTCGAGTATTAGAGATGACTTTGTGGTGGTTGCTATCGCTGAGGCGTTTAAAGGCGCCATCATTCGGGCCACGGGAGCGATTCGCTGTTGTGGGGTCGAGCTTCCACTCCCAGAACGAGGCACGACAGCTGTGGACGAAGTATCTGTGTCTATAGGGGATGGCGCTGAATTTGGATTCGCACTGCTGTTGGTCGCGGCATTTCGAAGATTTGAAGTCTGTTCAGGCGGTGGCATTGCCGGCTCAGAGCTGTAGTAATCTGGATCGGGGCTTCGGGGAGATATATACTGTAAAGGTATGGTGAGTACCAGGTGATCTTTGTCAAGCTGCCTCCTGAGTGAACAGATATTCGCCGAAGTGTGCATGATAGGCTTCGTGCACAGTACCATGGCATACGACAACTGTCGGCCCTAGACTGAAAGGCCAAAGCAAGCTGTGGATAGTGATAGAGGGTAGAGAAGCCAGACAGCCGTGGTTTTGTGGCTTTGCCCCTTCTCGTGCTGCGTGTGGGATGGAAAGAATTGACTCACGTTTTCAGAGCCATTTCGCGGAGTGCTTGGCTTGGCTTTCTTGTCAGAGGCAGGCGGGCGCGAGAAGCTATCAGGCCCAGGACGCTTTCTAGAATTCGACGACATGGTCCAAAGATTGTTAGACCCTGGATGAAAGGCGCCGCCTTGCCCTTCTATGTCGGTGTAGTTTGGGGGCTTATGTGCAGTCGGTGAGGGTTCCGGTTGTTTACTGAAGCAGGCGTGAGCTGGGTGATGGTGGAGGTTGAATTTCCACGGGTAGTCGAAGCGGAGGTTAAGTGAGGTGGACGAAAGACGCAGTTGGTGTGATCTCAGTCTTCACTGGATCAAACCCGGCGCGATAAAGAGCGATTTCACTGACCCCTGTCCTTTGGCCAGGTGTCCATCTCTTGGTGTCCAGACAAGGTGTGAGAATACAGGACGACCTCCCCGCCTCTGTTGTTTCATAATATAGAGCCGCGCAAGGTGGACTGGACAGACGCGCTCGGCGCAGCCCTACGACGGAGGGATCAACGGGCGGAGGCCCTCGTGCTCGTGAAGGTGAGGAGTCAGGGGAGCCCGTCCAGGAAGAAACGATGCAGTACAGGACGGTCTGCTGTGTGACAGCGGCGTGCGGTGCCTGGGAAGGGCGGTCAACTGATGCACACTCCCGACACGCAGCGGAACTAGCCGCTCACGGTTATCGCTCACAGTTACAAAGGTTATCGCTCACGGGAGACACAGCGCAGGAGAGGAAGAGCAGGTCGGGGAAGGGAGGACGTCGAGATTAGCGCCTGCAACGCCTCCAACGCCTCCGACAGAGCGGGAGAGCCTGATTTGCGCCGCTCGAGTTTCACGGCCTTGGCGCCTTGGCGCCTTGGCAACATTTTGAACGTCGATCCGTCGCAGAGAGCTCCGCTGCGCGCAACGAACACCTCATCCTCCTCCACCACGCGTTTCCCACACGCCTTTCGTCCTGATCAAACGCCATGGCAGCTGTAAGTCAGGCCCCAAGCGCCTGGACGCTCCGCTGATAATGCCAGCCTATAACGACCATCGCCGAGAGCAAAGAGCTCAGAGGCCTCAACCTCATCGCGGCGCATTCCCATATACGCGGTCTCGGCGTCGAGCCGGACACACTCGAGCCTAAGGCGTCATCACAAGGACTGGTGGGACAGGAAAAAGCGCGTAAAGCTGCTGCGGTTATCCTGCAAATGGTCAAGGAAGGCAAGATTGCTGGCCGGGCTGTCTTGATCGCCGGCCCCCCCAGCACGGGCAAGACTGCCATTGCGATGGGGATGGCGCAGTCGCTGGGACCCGACGTGCCCTTTACAATGCTGGCGTCGTCGGAAATATTTTCGCTGGAGATGTCCAAGACGGAGGCCCTCACACAAGCCTTCAGGAAGTCAATCGGCGTGCGGATAACTGAAGAGAGCGAGGTCATCGAAGGTGAAGTCGTGGAAATCCAGATAGATCGGAGCGTCACGGGGGTAAGAATAGATACATGTGTCGCGTGGGAGTAGCCATGCTAATAGGAGTAATAGGGCAACAAGCAAGGCAAGCTCACCGTCAAAACCACCGACATGGAAACAGTCTACGACATGGGCACCAAGATGATTGATTCTATGACGAAAGAGAAGGTCATGGCGGGAGATGTCATTTCAATCGACAAGGCTTCAGGGAAGATCACCAAGCTGGGACGCTCGTACACCAGGTCTCGCGATTACGATGCCATGGGCGCAGACACCAAATTCGTCCAGTGCCCCGAGGGCGAGCTTCAACAACGGCGAGAGGTCGTCCACACCGTCAGCCTGCACGAGATCGATGTGATAAACTCTAGGACACAGGGTTTCCTGGCTCTATTCTCCGGCGACACTGGCGAGATTAGGAGCGAGGTTCGGGAGCAGATCAATACCAAGGTTGCAGAGTGGAAAGAGGAGGGCAAAGCTGAGATTGTTCCCGGCGTACTGTTCATTGACGAAGTTCACATGCTCGACATTGAGTGCTTCTCATATGTGAACCGCGCCCTCGAAGACGAACTCGCCCCCATCGTCATCATGGCCAGCAACAGGGGAAACACAACCATACGAGGAACAGACTACAGGTCCCCGCATGGACTGCCCCTAGACTTCCTGGATCGCGTTGTCATCGTTAGCACTCACCCGTACTCCAAGGACGAGCTGCAACATATCATATCCATCCGCGCTCAAGAAGAGGAGGTAGACATCTCACCCGATGCGCTGACTCTTCTCACCAAGATTGGCCAGGAAGCGGGGTTAAGATATGCAAGCAACCTGATCACAACATCATATCTTTTGAGCCAAAAGAGGAAAGCTGCAGAAGTGAGCATCGATGATGTGCAGCGTAGCTTCCAGCTATTCTTCGATCCTGCTCGAAGCGTCAAGGTAAGTCTCATCCCTCCCACTGTCACGAAACACGTAGTGCCGAACCGTTGAGCATACATGCTAATTTGTTGTTGCAGTTTGTGGCCGAGTTCGAGAGGCGCTTGATTGGCGAGGAGGGCAACGTGACTCTCTCCACAACAAATGGCAGCACAGACGCCATGGATGTATCGTAGCCATTTCGTCTTCTAGGGTGGCGTTTGGTTGGGTCCAGCGTTTGGGGGTTAGATTACCTTGGAAGTCCTCGTACAGGATCGAGGCAAAAGTCTTGCTGTAACACTAGCGACATTCGATGCAATTATATCATCGGTATTCGACGCTAAAATGTTCCTATTCTGGACGCAGGACTTTTTGCGAGGATCGGATGGATGTCTGCAATATACGGACGCCTCGTCTGCACTCAGACATAATGTGATCTGTTTAGGGAGGATGAGGTATCTGCGATCTGATATGTTACGATGACTCAATCAGCTACGGCTCGTGACTGCTCTAATCCTGACGTTTCTGATGTTACTGTACGTTGTAGAGAAACAAGCCAACTAGCACAGCCCCTGGCCAGTGTTCGACCTATCACTGCTTCTTTTGAACACCTAAGCATGTAAATATAGCTTCTCGGATCCCTCATCCGATTCAAAATCTTAGTAACCACGTAAATATATCTGGATCCAACCTCCTTAGATACACCCCATATTGAGGATCTTAAAGCGGCCCACGACTGTTCCTTGGCTGTCGAGGATTAGAACGCAGGCACCTTTGTACATCCTGAAGCAGAAAATTACAACTGCATAGACATGTGATTCGTTGCCCTCTAGTCGCTTGCCCCAGATCCAATCCTGCAGGATTCTATCCCGCTCGGAGCATATTCCTTAATGTCTCGGCTCCTTCGCGACCCCTAGCACAGGCGCCTCGCGGTCGGCTATTTGTCGTCTTCTGATTTCTGATCAATAGACGTGCCTTTGTGCCTTTGTGTTCGACCCTCCGCGGGACACGAAATGAGGCGGGGTGTGGACGCGCATGGCGACGACGTAATGCAAAATGGTTTGGGCATGTTGCACCGCTTTGTAGACGCCACCCATATTCAGAACCCCAGGCTGAGACGCGAACAGCACAATAGCGGCCAGCTGACGTCTGCACACTGGGGTTGAGACTTGGCATGAAACAGGGTGCATGCATCGTATCCGCTAAGAACCGATCCACTGCGGAGTGAATGGCCGTGTATTTTGGTACCATGGGACGCCTGAGGGTTGACGCGGCCTTTGGAACATATGTAGCACTCGATGGACGGAGAAGGACAACATCTCCCGCCCCTGTCTCTTCAGATACACCTCTTCCACGCATAATCTTATCAGACTATGAGCTGAAAGGCTACAAGACAGGGCGGCCCCAAGCGCTGTGGAGAAGCCAGCCCTTCTCTCCACCACTCACAAGGCGTAACACGGGCGCGGGCGGCAGTGACGGCACCGGCAGCACGACACGAATCTGAGGTTTCTCTCCCTGATTGCCGTCCCGCACGCGACCGTTTGCCCCAAAAGACCGTGGCGCCAGCGATGCCCTTGGCGCCGACATCGATTAACTCCCTGCGCTGACCCGCGCTGAACCGCCACAGCCTCCTTCCTATTCTCCTACTGTTGCTGCGCTTGTCCTTCCCTAGTATCTCGCCCTCGTTCCTCCTAATTGTGTAGTAATCGCCCTCGCGATCCGTCCCAGCCTTCTCCGCACCCCTTCCGCACGCGCTCACGAGCCACACGTTTGCACGTTCTCAGCCTCGCCTCCTCCCTCCCCGATAGCTGAACTCCGACTCCCCGTACCCATCTGATTACTTTGGACGCCTGAATATTCTCTCGGCGCCCCTAATTATAGCTTGCGACACTTATCCACGCTCTCGAGTCCTTCGCCGCAATCGCTTCCTTGAGCCTTGCGTTGCCTTTCACGCCAGTTCCTACCCTGTTAGATAATGAGATTACTGCAGTATGCAGCAGCGGTTGCAACAGCATCATGTTTGGCGATGGGGATAGCGGCCCCAGCGCCGTCCGAGGCCGAAGGATCGTCGGGATCAAGTGCTTCGCTGGTGAAGAGAGTGGAGGACAAGTCGAAGAACAAATACTTCCGTGCGTTCCTATACGTCTTTCCTCTGCTTCAAAGATAAGGCTAACTTTTTTGCAGATGAGCCTGGGTATGATTCGTCCGATCCATCACTTCGACAGCTGCTGACATTTTTCCTAGCGGTGATGATATTATGGGCCATTACGATATCCGATATTTCAAAGGCGTTGTAGATTACGATGAACGAACCGATACCCTCACACATATGATTCGCGCATACTTGAACTTTTTCAGAGAGAATGGGCTGGACACCTGGATAGCGCACGGGACTCTATTAGGATGGTGGTGGAATGGAAAGGTACACCAGAAAGCTTTGAAGAACCAAAGGTCCCAGCTAATACTGTATTGCAGATGTTACCATGGGATTGGGATGTTGATACCCAGGTCTCGGGTGCGACGCTTCATCATCTGGGCGAGAAGTACAATCAAACGTACAACCACTACGTCTCCGAAGATGGGAAAGTGAAGAGAGAATATCTCCTGGATGTGAACTCGTGGATATGGGAGCGCGAGCGAGGCGATGGAATGAATATCATTGACGCTCGATGGATCGATATTCGGAACGGCCTCTACATCGATATCACAGGACTCAGCGAAACCCACCCGGACGCCGCTCCTGGCGTTTGGGTGTGTAAGAACTACCATCGTTACAGAACGAGCGACTTGTACCCACTAAGGGAGAGTGTGTACGAAGGTGTCCTGGCGAAAATTCCCTACGCCTATGACAAGATTCTGACTGAGGAATATCAACAAAAAGCTCTGGTTCTGACCTCGTATGAAGGGTAAGTTTGTATTGCAAGCCTATGCAGGTGCTTGAACTAACATCTAGACAGCCATATCTGGGACCCTAGTGCCAAAGAATGGCAGAAGACACCCGAGCAAGACGCCAAAGACAAGCATGATAACGAAGAACGAATGCGAAAGTACAATGAGGCACAAGAGAAGGAGAAGGAAGAGAAAGAAAAGGCCATAGAGAAGGCCAAAGAAGAAAATCCTGAGGAAGAAAAGTCCGAAAAAGAGGGCAAATGATCTTCAGATACTCCTTTCATATTTCACAGCTCATTTTACGATCCGAGAGTTTTGGATCACTCAACGGTAGAGGTTGGCGTTCTGTCTTGCATATTCTATCTGGCGTACGTTTTGGGCGTAAAAGAGCGCTCATCTTGGATCCGCTCCGAGACTTAGATGTTCGCTGGCATTCTTGATACCCGGTTTTTAGGGTCGAGTTGGTGCGCTGCCGGGGTGGCTGAGAGCTGTATAAACCTATTAGATACTCAATCCTCCTGGCGGGTATGCCGTATACCTAGATTATTATTCTACTATTCAGAAATTTGACTACTTTCCGTAAACGTGATATTTAGATTACTTCGTACCGTGGCACCAGCACGACAGATGACAAATCGGCTACTCCCGAGATGGACGACGAATCCATGGAAGCCTTGGGAAATCCAACGAACCTGCCTCATAAACTCGGGCAAGGTACAACATGAATCCTCTACTCCTCACTCACACTTACAGCTTGACTGCTCCTCGAAAACACAATTATGGCTGCGAAAGATGATCCTCAGGCTCAAAATGAGCTTAATCCAACCTCAACACCTTCAACCAGTGGCGACGACACCAATCTCACGATAGTGCACCACGGAAAGCCGATACAGCTTACCTTTCCCAGCCATGCGACTCTCGCAGACCTCTCCGAACATGTCTCTACAGACCTATCCATCCCTCCCTCCAACCAGAAATTCCTCATAACCCCAAAAGTCGGGCTCCTCAAGCCGCCCTTCAAGGACCCGTCCATACCCCTCTCCACGCTCCTTTCCAAGAAGATCGTCCTCATGGGCTCCACCGCCGCCGAGATATCCTCTCTCAACGCCTCCATCGCCGCCGCCTCCGCTCCCCGCCGCCCCTCACCCATCAAATCCGCGCGCCCCTCCCGCACCGGCCGCTCCAACCAGCGCATCCAAGACGACGCCACCTACACGTTCCACACCCTCCGCCCACTCCCCTACCTCCCGCGCCCGGAGCGCTCCCTCGCCTTCCTCGAACGCCTCCGCGACGACGCCGGCATCCGCGCTGCGATGCGCGCGCACAAATTCGCCGTCCCGCTGCTGACGGAGATGGACCCCGCCATGCACACGACGCACGAGTCGCGCACACTGGGGCTGAACCGCAACCAGGGCGAGGTTATCGAACTGCGGTTACGAACGGATGCGTATGATGGGTATAGGGACTATAAGACGATTCGGAAGACGCTGTGTCATGAGCTGGCGCATAATGTGTTTGGGCCGCATGATCGGGATTTCTGGAATCTGTGCCATCAGATTGAGAAGGAGGTGGATAGGGATGATTGGAGGAGTGGGGGGAGGAGTGTGGGGAATGAGGAGTATTATCAGCCGGCGGAGGAGGAGGTAATGGATCATGGGGGGTGGACGGGTGGGGAGTTTGTGCTAGGGGGTGGAGAGGGCAATACGGTGGTTAGTAGTGCTGGTGGGGATGTGCTGGCTGGTGGCCTTAGTCGGAGGGAAATACTGGCGAGGGCTGCTGAGGAGAGAGTAAGGAGAGCAAGGCAGGCTCAGGAGCCCCCGGATCAAGGGGCCGGCGGAGAGCATGCATAGCAGGAGGCTGTAGTTCCATGTGAGTTTCCAATGTTAGTACCAGGCCGTGTCGGGCAGAATTGACATTCGGATAGAGAAATCGACCAATCGAATGTATTCCCCTTCGTGGCGCTCTTTGCTAGTTGGCCCTTTGTCCAAAAGACAAAGGTATTGACCAAGAGGCAAAGAAAGGTAGCACCTTTCACAATGTACTTTTATCCGTAGAAAGAAACCTCTGCGCAAAACCTCGCGATCTCTGTGACCTTTTCCTTTCGTACTTCAATGTCTAAATTCTTTGTCAAGATTTACTTTCTGTATACACGCTGTTAGATGTTGCCCACCTGTCTTCTTCTCAAAGATTCCAACAACATATATTGCACACAGCCAGTGCTTTACACGCGAAGGCGTACTTTTATCATTTTTAAGTAGTTATAACTATCTCCCTTTACAAGGTCTAAGGGACCGCACCATCGCATTGGGTGTTTGGCGTCCCGATTTTTGCATCAAACACACCCGTTTCTTGTGAGTACGCAATATCAAACGCTCCAAAATCAAAAGATCAAAACACTCACAGCTCAACAGTCGTCTCCAGCTCTCTTGAGATCGCCATGAACAACCCCGGCTACCAACGCAACGGCATCCTCGACGATGTCAGAAACGCTGCCCCAGCCCTCGTGGGCGGGCTAGCTGCCGGTGCTGCAGTGCTCATCGGCACTCGACCAGAGAACGACTTCGACCAATCGAACTTCCCCAGCCCGGTATCCCTACCAGTCGAGGAGTTTACCTCCACCTCCCCCTTTCCTTCGTCAACAAAACCCCTCGAATTTCCGGCCGCTTCATCCGAGCCTTCCTCCCTCTCACCCTCATTCAGCCCAACGTCTTCGTCATCTCCAGTAGCCACCGCATCGATTTCCCCCTCGCCCCAACCTACCCCAGAAGATGCCTCCACTAGCACCCTCATCCCAGCCGCCCATCTCGCCACGCTCATCCACACCTTCTCAACCCTCCCAGCACCCATGCAAGCCCTCCTCCTCATCGCCTTACCCCACTACGGCCCCTCCCTCCTCGCCCGCCTCCCCGGCTTCAAGAGCCAGAAAGTGCGGAAATGGATATCCAGACTCGGAGCACTCGCCGAACAAGTCGTCCCCTTCGTTGCGGACAAGGAGTGCTACTTCCCCATGCTCCTCGCCTACACCCTGCTAGAAGGGGGCTACAAGCTCGCGACGGGATGGGAGGACCCCGCCGCCGTGGAGCTCCGGCGACTACTCCGCGACCAACATCCCCTGCCGTTTGGCGGGGCGGCGGCGCTGGGCAGGGAGAGGCGGAGGTTTGCGGAGTATCGGAGGGCGGTGAGGGCGGGGACGGGGGTGCTTGCGCGGAACCAGGTGAGGGCGAGGCGGCTCTATGAGGACAGAATCGCCGCTCAAGTTGACGCGCTGCGTCGGCTAGATACCGATTTCAAGTACCTTCGCGAGCAGGATGCGCGGCATGTTGCGGAAGCCGATGCGGTGCGCTCGCAGATTGGGAATGCGAATGTTGAGGCGGATGCGCAGACGCGGAGAGCGGAGGCGAGCCAGGCGAGGTATGTGAGCACGGCTGGCATGCTGTTGACGTATGTTAGGGAGGCGACGGGGCTGCGGAGGCATCAGAGTGTACTGGAGAGGTGCTGGGATGATGAGATTAGGGAGCGGAAGGCGGCTGATGCAAGGGTTAAGGCGGTTGAGAGGGAGAGGGATGAGGTTAGGGATGCGAAGAGGAGGGTTGATGAACAGCTGAGGAGGCAGGCGGGGTCAGTTCGCGATCTTCAAGGGGAAAAGAGGAGGGCGGATGGGGACATTGAGGCGTTAAAGAGGGATGAGATGAGTACGGACGGCAGCCTTAGGCGGGCACTGGAGGCTAAGAAGGAGAAGCGTAAGGCTGAGAAAGAACAGCTGAGGACTGAGAAGGGCAAGCTGGACCTCGAGGTCAAGAGCTTGAGGGAGAGTCTTCAAGCAAAGAATCAGCAGAGTCGGAATGATCCCGGTAAAGGCAATCTGGTACACGCAGTCAAGACCTGTAGGGATAGTCTCGAAGCGAAAAACAATGAGAACCAAGGGCTGGTAAAGACGCATCAGGCCGAGAAGGAGAGGCTAAGGACCAGAATCGGTACTCTGGAGCTCGAAGTTAAGACGTTGAGGGATGGTGCCCAGCCAAAGGAGCAGCAAAGCAATCTGGTGCTCGCAAACAACACCTTGAGGAAAAGTCTTGAAACAAAGGACAAGCAGATGCAAGACCTTGCGCAAACAGATAAGGTCCAGCAAGAAAAGTGCAATACTGAGAAGAGCAATCTGGAACTTGAGGTTAAGACCTTAAGAGACCGTCTTCAACAGACCAAGGAGGAAACCAAAGAGGATCAAAAACTCTACAAAGAACTGGAGGCTTGGAAGGACCGGCTGAAGATTGAGAAAGACAATCTGGAACAGGAAGTGAATAGCTTGAGAGACAGTCTTGCAAAAATTGATCAACAGATCAAGCCTTATGCGGACGCGTTGAAAGAACATAAGGCTAAGACTGCCTCTCAAGACTCTGAACGCCGCGCAGAGATTCGGAAACTTAAAGCTGAATTAGCCAGCGCCGCCAAAGCCCGCTCCGACCTCAAGGAATTCGATGACAAGTACAATACAGCTCTCCAGAAGCTCAGGCAAGAAAAAGACGGTCGGAAAGCTGACGTAGACGCCAAGGACAAGATCATTGTCGAGTTGAATGGTCTCCTTGAAACTATGAAAGACGACAACCCTAAAAGCGTCCAAACGATTGCGGATCTTCGAGAAGACATTCAAATTCTTACGGAAGAGCGAGATTCTGCCCGTAGATCGACACAACAGGCCAGGACCGCCGCTGGCGCTGATATGAAGTCGGCAATGGAGGGCTTTAACAAGCTTATTGACGAAAAAGAGCAGCCCCGGAGGACTTTGTCGAAGGGGAAATCGGATCTGGTTGAGCAAAACGAAACCGCACAAGCTAGAGTCTCTGACCTCGAGGAGAGGATCCGGGAACTTGAGAAGAAAAGAGCCGACGCGGTAGGCAATCAAACAAGCTCTCAGGATCTGGAAGCTGAAAAGGCTGACTGCGACGCTAAGATTACCAGCCTGACTGCCGAGAAGAATAGGCTTGCGTTTGAGAAAGACGAAATTGCCGCTGAGCTTGTTCAAGCACGTGTTGATCTTGCGAAAGAAGTCGCCAAGGTCTCTGAGCTTTGAACCAAGATTGCTAAGCTCGACGCTGAAATACGCCATCTGACTGCGGAGAAAGAGAAGCTTACCTCTGAGAAAGACGCGATCGCGGCGGAGCTCAATCAAACACGTTCCGAGCTTGAGGAAGATGCCGCCAAGATCGCTGGATTTGAAACTGAGGTCCACAGCCTAACTGCTGACAACGAGAAACTTGTCTTTGAGAGAGATGACCTTGCAACGAAACTTACCCAAGCTCGTGCTGACCATGAGGAAAAGGTGGCGGAACTCTCTAAGAAAGCTCAGCAGTGGCATCAAGCCTACCAGACTGTAGCCAGGGAGAGTCGGGAACTCGATAAGGAGAAGGAGGGACCACAGTCCACCACCACGGACTTGCAAGCTAAGAACGCTGAACTCAAGATCCAGATCAATAGCCTAACTGCCGACAAGAATGAGCTCACTCCCGAGAAAGACGACACCGTTAGAGCAGTTACTCAAGAACGTCACGACCTTACTGTAAGGGTAGACGAGCTGCTCAAGATAGAGCAGGAGTTGGTTAACGCAAATGAGACTCTCACAATGGAGCTGCAAAGACTCGAGTCCGAGGGCCAGAGAAATCACACTACCGCTGGAAACCCGGAGGCCAACGCTTCATCTCGGGTCATGGTACAGACCAAAGTGCACGAGGCTAGAGATATCCTCAAAGAAGTGGACGGTCTGCGAGCTGTTGAAAGAAGCTATCATAGGATTCCAAGATTGGCACAATCCTACGATCGGGACAGACGCCTGCCTGAATTTACGACTGAACATGCCTGGTATCTCGAGCACATACTCCAGAACACAATCACAGAATTGGTTGAGTGTCTGCAGGACGAGGCTCTGGCTGCTACCTTGGGCGCCGAGCTCACCGAAGATCTCAGCAAGCTTATTGAGGATCTTGGCCGCACTTTGGGGGCGGCGATAGACGACATCGCCTCTTGGTATCGTGAACGTCTAGCGCGGAACAAGGCCAAGAACATGAATGGAAATATCTCGCGGGAGGCCTGGCAGGAGATGGTTCAAGACATGAAGGCTGAGAAGGAAAAATTCGTTCAAGTATATTGCGTTCCCAATGAGGGCACCAATGTTCTCGACAGAATTTCCATAAAGCCACCGCCTCACCCCATGAATCCCAATGATGCTAATAAGGACGCTGTCGACTGGGAAAGAGTTCCCACCAAGGAGGCTATACTGAAAGAGATTGATATGAACCCTAATGGACTGATGCACTTCAGTGAGCTTTTGGAGAAGTTCGGTATTGAACCCAACACTCCCGAAGCTTTCGCTATCAATGATAGGGCGAAGGAGGTGGCAACACGATGGCGTAATGGTGTAGCATTCGGCCGACACATGCGGGGGGCATACTTCATTCTTAAGGATGACCATAAAGATGCTGAAAAAGACAATGAAGAGCCTGGGAAGGGTGACGAAGATGTGAAAAAGGACCAATAAGAGCCCGGAAAGGCAATGAATGGAATTACTTGCCAAAATTTCAGCTGCGTTTGGGCCAAGCCTGATGGTATAATACACGAATATCCCCCTTTCCCCGAATCAGAATCTCCAGGATATAGGACGGAATGTGAAGATAGCCCGCGATATGTCTCACTTCGGTTTGAAGATACTGTATTTATTTTGCATATTTGTAATCGTCATGCACATAGCTAGGGAGTTTAGGATGAATCAAATTTCATTCAATGGATAAGACTGTGTAATGTGCGTATCGTGTTCTAAATTCGAAGGTGCTTCCATTTATGCGATTAAGCTGGTCAGTAGAGGTGAACATAATTGTCACGAATTGGGTATAATCTTCTCGCTTTCAAACTACTCAACTAAAATACAAAAGAGTCCCTCCGAGCGCAGTGCAGAGCGTAGGCAGATCTACCAACGTCACGAAGCCAGTATTCAAACCCGTCATTGGCCACCCCGTTGCGTAGGGTCTCTGCCACTTTAGTGAGAGGGTTTGATATTTGTTCATCTCACCAAACCTCCTTCTCATAATACCGGAAGGGAATAGTGATAGTAGATGAACAGATATGTGCTGAAGTCTAATTTAGCCAATCAGAACGCGGAATCGTAGAATATTTAATCGTCCGAGCTCTCGGGCTTGGCCATTTTCTCCGCACCCCTTTCCATCCGATGTCCACCCAACTACCGGTGCGCTACGTGGACAACCATACTCCAGACTTAACAATGCTTTCTAGAGATTGGGAAATCTTTAATCTGTCCGGCAGCATAACGTGAGGTTTTCCGTGCCGTACCAATGACTGCACTAAGGTATCGAGTATCCATCGAGCTGTGTGAAATATAGTATGCAGAACAAACGAACAACAAAAATCCTACTGAGTATTCTATTACTTTACTAGGCAAGCACGCCGACGGGATTTGTGTTGCCGCCAGTTTTATCATCTTTGCTAGGCACTGTGTGCTCTTCCTCTCCAGCTATGGCCCAAGAGTCCGAAAAGAAATCCGCTGTTTAGTCCATTCTATGATCTTTCCTATGAAAGTATCGCTATCATAGTTCCCGAATGTTTCTCACGGTCAATCCCATCATTCTACGGATTATCCTCTGAGGACATGTCCCATTTACCTGTTTGGCCGGCAGGCTAACCCCCTTCTCATCCGATTCGTTCTTAGCTGTATTCTCCATGAAGTGCCAGAACATAGCCACGACTATCCACGAACTTCAGCAGGTTTTCTGGCGTCGCCTGGACACTCCCCAACTACTGTCTCGTTGATAGGCGAGTACGACTCTTCAGGTGTGAGCGTTGTGAGCGTGCAGACTCCTTAGCCCACAGTTGAGTAATATATAGAATTTCCTACTTCAAATCAATATATCGAAGTGAACAACGCAGGAATGTTCGATACGTCCCATCGTGGATTGCTTTATAGAGTTCCAACGCGCCATCTGCGCTTCACTGTATTTCACTAACGACCCAGGCCCCCCAATCGCAAGCGCATTGACTCAATCGATCCCAGATTCACCACCTCACTTTGCCAACATACACGACGCGCCGGCCTTTCACATTCGCCGATCTCCGTTCCCGCACACAACTTTTACCTCGCAGCTCGCAGGTCGTACTCCTCCACCTCACACACCACACCTACAACCGCATCATATCACCCACCACCCTGCTCCCACTTCTGCGCACGACCTCACCATCTCCGCTGTCTTTTCTCGCAAGGTGCAATGGCTAACGCCAACGTTCCTGGCCGACAAGGCAGTGGGATTATCGCCACGGCAGTCAATGTCGCACCTCACCTGTTCGCAGCGGCTGGAGGCACTGCTGCGCTTGTAGCGTTGTCACCGTTCGGAAAGGACGTCCCTGAGGCCCCTCAACTCGATCTGCCCGATCAGATCAAGTCTAGCAAATCGGTCTTCGACATCTCTACGGACAATGTCTTGTTGGACGACTCTACCTTCTCCCCGCTTTCAACATCTGCGACAATCCCGAACTCTTCGTCGACTATCCCACCACTACCATACCAGCCCGCGTCATTCGCATCGACGGTCGACTCCGGTCCTACCTTCTCTCCAATATCCCTTTGCCAAACTGAGTATGCATCGCATTCAGTGCCCGAAACGTCGCACGCGATTTCAGGGCCACAAATCTCTTCACTAGCGGTTGATCACCTGTCTTCGATCTTGACAAGCTTGAATGGACAGCCAGATATCCTGAAGGCTTTCGTCTTCGTAGCTGCACGGCGTGCAGCACCATCTGTTCTCTGTTCGTTGCCCGGCCTCACCGGCGAGAGAGCCCAAACATGGATCAGGAGGATTTCTTCGATTGCCCAGCAAACACTCCCATATCTCGTGAACAACCAACAGATCACTTTGGTCGAAAGCCTTTTCACTCTCGCCGATCAAGGCCGCAAGATTGTCACAGGTTGGGAAGACCCGTTGATCGTTCAGCTACGAAGCCAGCTGCAGGATGCGAAAGGTCAATACCACAGTCTTCTCCTGAATTCCTTCGCGATGGATCTTCGTCGTAGAAAGGAAATGCGGATTCTTTTAGAGCAATACCGCGCCGACACGAGGATCATAGTGAAAAATCAGAAGGCTACATTCGCTAAGAACGATGCGCAACTTCGGAAGGAGCTTGCCTCACAACACGACATCGTGCTTAAGAATATCAAAGAAAGCCATAAGCAAGAATTAGAAGAGCTATCTTCTAAGATGTCGGAAGGTGTCCTCAAAGCCCAAAAGGAGACTGCCGACATTCGAGCCCAGCTGTCGAAAGCAAATGCCGAGGCGTCTACGAATGGTCAGAGAGCACAAAAGGTGGAATCCGAAAGCCGCGAACGCGGTCAGCAGCTTCTAGCTGCTCTCAAAGAGTTAACAGGCTACCGAAACCATAGCAAGACCCTAGACTTGTTGCTCGCCGAATCCAATAAAGCCCTGAGCGACGCAGAGAGACGATTTTCGCCGGAAAATGAGAAAAACAAACGGCTGAATTCCAAAATGGCCTTTGATATCGAAACCCTTCAAGCTAGGCTAGACGCATCCGAGAAGCGTCGCGCGGACGACAAAGCGGAGTCGACTTCCATTGTCGCAGGCCTGAGGGAAGGTCAAGTTGATCTCCAGTCTGATATCCAAACCCGGGATGACAAGTTAGCGAAGATGGCCGCCGAGTTGGCCTCCCTCCATGAGGAGCAGGAGCGTCATGCCCGTAAGTCAGATCTCAAGATCAAGGACAAGGAAATAGCATCTTTGAAGGATCTTCTTGAGTCCAAGGAGTCGGACAGCACTACCTCCGCGGAGACAATCAACCACCTCGAGTCTAAGCTTGTTGGAGCTGAAGCAGAGAAGGAAGCTGTCGAGAAGAAGCTTAGCGACACCTCGGGAGAATGGAAGAAACGTTTCGAAGATCAAAAGGCTGGTCATAAAAGCGAGGTCTCGAGAATCACTTCAGAGTACGAGAAGGCCACTAGCGATTTGAGGCTTCAAGTGAAGCAGCTGAAGACTGAAAACAATTCAATCCCTATGCTTCAACGTCGCATCGGAGAGCTGCAGCCAGAGATCCTTAAGCTGATAGATCAGAACGCGGCCTTACAAAAGGACAGCAAATTTGCCGGTGAAGCCTTGTTCGACGCAAAGGGAAAGCACAACGCAGAGCTTGATGTTGCGAAGGACTGGGCGAGACAATCTCAGAGACAATTAGAACAGATGAGCAAGGAGTATGCAAAATCTCTCAAGGAAAAGATGCTCGCACCCTCCCTTGACGGTTTGCTATACCAGGCCACACCATTTCAAAAGAGATACGACGAACTCGATGCTCAGTATCGAAAACTCTTCAAGCTGTATCAAGCCTCACTGGAGACGATCAGGCGTCTCAGCGGTAATCAGGATCTACAATCGTCGATCACAAACCCAGGCCGGATAGTTGAGCACTCAGACCCGACTACTAAAGAAGCTGTCGCGAAGTTCTCCGAATTGATGAAGCAGCTTAACGAAATGCACGATGCAGAGCTTGCGGGCCTGTTAGCGGAAGGCGTGCCGGAAAGAAAGAGATCTCTAGCCATCTACACACCGAAACAGGCATGGAGCATAGGTCATAGCCTCAATAAATCATGCCTTCTGCTGGACCAGCACTTCCAAGAACATCTCGCTCCGAAGGATCCTGCCAACGATGTATCGAAGGTGATAGGATGCTTGGGCACCCTGCTAGCGGGAGCAGTAGAGGACATTGCCTACGGGCATGAAGAGTTGAGATTAGCAAATTCCGGTCTTGGAAGGCTGTCTGTGAGCAAGTGGTTGGCCGCCCGAGACCACTTGGAAAAGCAGAAAGTCGAATTTCTCGCCTACCCTTCCAGTATAGCGGAAATTCTACGTGGCAATTTCGAAAGAGATGCGAATTTAAAGATCAAGAACGCTCCGACATCCCTCCCAGACGACGATACCCTGTTATCTCATTTCCCATCCTCCACGAAGGCGGTACGAGTCGCCGAGCTTTGTAGGGCTCTCAACATCGAAGCGGGGTCAGCCGAATGTGACGACCTAGTTATACGTCTGAAGGGGATCCCGCAATTGGAAGGACGGAAGAAGAAAAAATTGGTGTTCAGCCGAAAGAGCGAGGATGGAGGCGAGGATGGAGGCGAGAAAGCTCCCGAAACTTGAGTGCGTTGCCAGCACTCAGGCAGCATCAACAAAACCCACAAAACTCTACAAAAACGAAACCAGCACACCTCACACTTCATCGAAAGATGGGTGTGGGGTAGGCTCCTGATCTTGGCTCCTCGTCGGCTGCATAGTCTTCGGAC